TGGTAGGAAATTAACAATGCTTGTTGTATTACATATTGATATCTTCAAAGTGGTTTCTATGGCCCTGTCATCTTGATTTTTCTCTCCATTAAATTTGGCGTGAGCTGGGCATGGTGGTGCACGCCTGTAATCCCAGCACTCGGGAGGCTGAAGCAGGAGGATCATTGTGAGTTCGAGACCAGCCTGGGCTACAAAGTGAGCTCAAGGCCAGCCTGAACTGCATAGTGAGACCCTGTCTCAAAAAGAGAAAAAAAAAAAAAAAAAAATTTGGCGTGAGCTGACTTAAGCTCAATTTTTCCCCTTTCTTTTCTGTTCTCAGAGAGGTAAATGTGAATTTCCACCCTGCTTTATCTTTTATAGCTGGAATGTAATTGGAATGTGAGTGCAGGAAGAAAGCAGGTGGGATGCTAAAATGTATATTTACTGCTTACACTCAGCTATATCCCTGGCTTTAATAGAGTTTTTAATTGAGAACCTTGATACCATGTTTCACATATCCTTTAATCTTCACCATTTATCATTTATTTAACACTGCCTGCCTTTCCTATCCCATCTACACGTACTATCGATGTGAATGCACTCCCCTAATGTAGCCACTCTGGACTGACATGGTCTCCTGAGTACTCCGTGTCCTGGGAATTCCTTGGTGCCATCATTATTATGTCCGGAAGGGAGCAGAGTAGCTAAAGCCTTAGTCTGAGCCAGGTGTGGTGGCGCATACCTATAATCCTAGCACTCGGGAGGCTGAGGCAGGAGGGTCGTTGGGAGTTTGAGTCTAGCCTGGGCTATAAAGTGAGCTCAAGGCCAGCCTGAACTGCATAGCGAGACCCTGTCTCAAAAAGACAAAACACACATACACACAAAACAAAACAAAACAAAACAAAACAAAACAAAACCCTTAGTCTGGATCCAAGTCATGCCTCTCCCCCTTATTAGCTCTGCACTTTGGTCAGATCACTTGTAAACTGGGGACAATAGCAGTGGCTGCTTCACCGCTGTTAGAAGGAGCAAGTGAGTTAGTCCTCGCAAAGCAGTAGAGCAGACCCCGGGACATATTAAGATTGCAGTGAATATTAGCTGTTAGCCACATGTCTTCTAATCTTCAAAGACCAGACGACATCCTGCCTCTTATTTTCTTTGACTAATGTTACACAACCCATAATGATCGTTTTAATCTTTTGAAAATGTAACACAATTAGTAATTTTCTTAGCACTTTGATATAGCAGGAGAATGGATGGAAAGAAACAATATCTTCAAATCTTCACACACTAGGTATTGTGGGGCTTTAAGCGAGCTGCTTAAGACTTAGTTTTGTCATCTGTAAAATGGATATTTTGATACCTTTGAAGAGTTATTGTTAGGACTAGCGAGGTAGAACAGGGTTAAGAAGTATCTTGTACCAGCCCTAACTCATGGTAGACCCCCAGTAAATGTACAGGCTTTCAAAATACCTTAGAGCTTTTGTTTTCTCGATTGTAAAAACAAAATCATTATAGAAATTTAAATAATATAGCAATGAGGGGCTGGGGATATAGCTCATTGGCATAAGTGCCTGCATGGCAAGCGGAAGGTCATGAGTTTGATCCCCAGTACCACAAAAAAAAAAAGAAAAAAAAATATAGCAATGAGATAGAGAAAATTAAAATAATGGTAAACATCTTTCTAGAGACAACAGTTGTCCCAGGTAGCAGCAGCGCCTATCCTGGAAACTAACAGCTGATTGTATTTCTTTTAGCTTCTCTCCCTCCGCCCAGCTCCCATGAATTTCACAGGAATGCCCGTGTATTTTAGAAAGACCCAGGGGCTGGGGATATAGCTCAGCGCACAGCGCCTGCCTGGCAAGTGCAAGGTCCTGAGTTCAATTCCCAGTACCAAAAAAAAAAAAAGTTAAAAAGACCTGGGTGTGGTGGCCCATGCCTGCAACCCCAGCACTCAGGAGGTAGGGGCAGGAGGATCTCAGTGAGTTTGAGATCAGCCTGAACTATATAGTGAGACTGCCTAAAAAATAAATAAAAGGAATCACATTATATACTAATTTTGCAGCCTACCTTACTTTAAAAGGCATTTCTCCATCTTATTAGTGTTTTTCAAAGCTATGATTTTCCTGCTGTAAAGCATCCTATACACATCCATACTGAACTATTTAACCATGCCTTTATTATTGGGGTTTGAGCTTTTATTTAGGTTGTAGCTGGTCTGATTCATGCTGTATTAAATATCTTTGTATATGAATTTTGAAAATGCCTTTGATTAGTTTGTTAAGTTCCTAGGAATAAAAATACCCGTTCAAAGAAAGCACATTAAAGGATCCTGATACATATTGCCAACTGTCACCTTCCTGAAAGTTCCATAAAGTCCTTACTCCTGTCAACAGCTACCGGGCGTGGGGTGTGGCCTTCACATGTCACTTTGCTAACTCTGTTGTTATTTAACCTTTCATCTGCTTTATCTAGTACCTTTCAGCCTAGATGGCAGTAATCTTCTTGAGCAGGCACTGTGGTCATCTGCCTCTCTGTAACACCAGAACTTTGCCCGCTGTCACTCACATAGCGCCCCTTAATATTTGCCAAATGAAGGAATTTTTATCTGCAACTATCTCTTTGGGATTAAAACGTAGGGCAGGCATTCAAACAATCACATTCACATTGGTCAAATTGAGAGAGTTTATAGACTTGTCCTCGGTCTCACAGAGAGATAGGTGGGGAGAAAAGTATGAACTCACACAGATAGTTGGCAATGGTCCAGGAGAGGAAATGGAGCTGTTTTTTAAGGTCTACTCTGCAGCATGTTGGAAATGGACTTTCTGAGCTGCTGTTTTTTCCCCATTACTGGGCGTGGAGAGGGGCGGGATCTAGTTTTATAGCTTAGCCATTTAGCAGAGTGAGTGGAATTTTCCAGATGGCCCTCTTGTTGGCTGTTGGCGTGATTGCAGCTTTGCCCTCTGGGAGCCATTAGGCCGCAGCCCCAAAGCCTAGACGGCTGTTTCAGCAGGTCAGATTGTGGGAGCCTTGTGCTTTCGTTGACACCGAGCCATGTAAGATTTCAGACCACACATAACCACTTGTATTTTCCTTGTGCTACAGCTCCCGACAGACTCCATGCTTTGAACAAGGAGCTGAAGTGAGGAAAGTGCTGCCCTCCTCCCCCAACACACACACCCCTCCTAATACAGTGACTCAGATGATCCCTGGCCACAGGCACCTCTCTGGGTGCCAGGATCTGGGGTAATCTGCTTGGAATAACACAGTGTTTCAGAGTTCCCTTAAATCCACACCCCAACTGCGAGCATGAAGTGATACTTCCTTTACCCTACACCCCTAGGACCTCGTCAGGGATTGTTCGAGTGTGAAAGTTTGCACGGGTTGGGGGCATCTGAGCTCATAGTCATATCTCCCTCTGTGATGGCTGTATCTGCTCATTTGTGAATTAACCACTAATCCTCACCATGCCCAGTAAATACAGGTTTCCTGGGAAGCAGGAAACCAGAAACCAAAGTGGTAAATCTGGATGGGTAGACATTGTCACGGAATGGTTTGCCTTTTATGGAGGGCCAATCCACTTCTCTATTCTTGGCTATCAAAGAGGTTACCTTCTCCGGCCCCTCTTCTCAGTGGTTTAATTTCTTTAACCTACAAGGTGGAAGACTTCCCTTAGAATTTAGAATCACCATGGCAGATAGGATGAACCAGCACGTAACTCCTGGCTTGTCGAGGCTGGACGGCGTAAAGCTGTACTTCTGACTCCCTCGCAGTTACAGTTTTGATGCGATCTGTTAAGGCTTGACATCTGGATATGGGACCACATTGTGTTTTTATTTTGAGACAGTCTTGCTAAGATGCCCAGGCTGGCCTCAAACTTTCAACCTTCCTGCTTCAGCCTCTTGAGCCTGTGCCACCATGCCCAACCTCAAAGCAATGCTTTGTCTTACCCTGATGATTTGTTGACTGAGACAAAAGGAAATGGTTGGATTTTATCCTTGACTTTAGTATGGATTCCTTTTGTCTGGAGCTAGATTTGAACTATTTTGTTCTTTTTTATAGGCTTTTCCTCGAAATGATAGATGACTTTGTATGGTGTTTTTCTCAAAGTTGTATGAAAATTTTTTCCCCCTGAAGTTATATTGAAACGCCCAAGCATAAGAGTATCTCCATCTTTGTTGGTTTACCTAATTGGAACAATTTAAGGGATCAATTCATGGACTTCATAATCATCTCTCCATGAAAAGGGTACTGTTATTACTAAGCATAAATCACATAATGTAAATATGCTGAAGCTTGTAATAGCTACAGAAAAGGGCTGGGAGGAACACTTTGCTGTCTTTGAAGACATCAGTATTGGCAGCTTAGCCAAAAAGCCATACAGTGTCTGTAAGTCACGCCCAGCCTATCCTGCCATCTGGGAGCTGACTCAACCGTTGTTATTACTGGAGTACCATACAGATCTCTTCCTCCTTCGACTGGTTTTCATGTGGGCTTTCTGTGGGCCCCACTTTGCTATAAAAAATGGATTCAGACATCTCAGGCATCCAAGGTGTGGGCTGGAAAGGGGCTGGTTTAACTAGGCAAGCCTGGGTTCAGTAACTATAAAACTTTTTTTTGGTACCAGGAATCAAACTCATGACCTTGTGCTTGCCAGGCAGGCACATTGCCACTGAGCTCTATCCCCGTCCCCTAGTAATTATAAAATTAGAATATGTTCTGCCAGAGCCTTCTCAAATGCTTTGCGTTTTGGTCCTTCATATACAGCTACAAAGAAAGCAGTCAGAGAAGTGGAACTCTAAGCCTGAATGCAGGGTACTTTCCCTCTTGCAGGTTCTGTGAAAGTTGCTCTGCTGTGTGCCAGGTTCTCAAGGGGATGCAGATTCTTCATTAACCAAAATGAGGAAGAAGCAACACACATGCTGTCTCAAATTTGGAACTAAAAAAAAAAAAGACTTTATTGAGGGCAAGAGGATGCAAATATAAAAATCAAAAGCTTATCGAGCATCTAGTTAACTTTCCATTTTCTGTTTGTCCAGTGAGAGCCGGATGTTATTTGTTCATTTTCTAAGGGTCCCGATCTGCTCATGAAATCTTTATACAAGGGGAAACTGAGGGGCAGATTCCTTAAGGGGCCCTTTGGGAGAACTCTCATCAGGGCAGGAGTAAACGCTCATGTCCACCTACTTCTTTCCCTTCTGCTTCATGTGAACTACAAAATAATCATTGCACGCAATGGTGAGGCCCGCAACTAGTGAGAAGAAGCTCTGGAAGCCCACTTTGCCATCTCGACACTGGTCCAGGTCCTTCATAATTTTGTCCACAGCCAGAGGGTCTTTCTGATTCTGCGGGGGCAGGGAGAGAACAAGGACAAGAAATATTAGTCAATGGCTGCAATGACGAGTGTATCTGATTTGTGTTGACGACAACAGTGTGTACAATCTCCTAATGATCTGCACTAGTGTTTTAGGTCATAAGTGACCTCTGTAGATCACCTAAATGTTGTTTTTTTTTTTTGTCTTCACACATCTTGGTAACTTCATATTTAGCATCTGCCTAAGAACTACCTTATACTCACCATTTTGTAGTTCAGACTTATATGTATTCCTGATAACATGGTCAAATCCTTTCAAAGGAAACACCTTATGACAAGATCTCACGAGATTACTTAGGGAGTAAGTTTCAGTGCCACCTATCCTAATGATACCATGGGTGCTTTAAGTCTGAGAAGGACAGAAAGCTCGCTTTTTCTCCTTTCACAGCTGAGGCCAAGTTAACGTGATGTCCTGACACAGTGGCCATATGACCTTGCATAAGCAGCATAGCTTTGTGTGCCCTGGTGTATCAACAATAAATGAGGGCTGGGGATGTAGCTCAGCAACACAAGCACCTGTCTGGCATGCGCACGGTCCTGAGTTTGACTCCAGGTACCAAAAAATGAAACAAGATAAAACAAAAAGCAATAAATGGAGGAGTGTGGAGTGCAATGCCATTTCTAGGTTCCATTCCATTTTTTTTTTTTCCCCTTTGCAGTGATGGGGCTGGAACCTAGGGTCTTGTGCATGCTGGGCTAATGCTTTAGCACTAAGCTGCATCCTTAGCCTACTGTACATTGGGCGAATGTCAAAGGAAACATGTGATGGGACCATAACCCCCCAATGCCTACTATTAATGTGTGAAACGGTGTAAGATCCTCTTTGCTTTCATGGAGCTTGTACTGGTTACTTCTTTTTCAGTGATGCTGGTCAGAAGAATAAAAGTGTAATTACTCCTACAGGGTCTGTGCCATTATCAGAGAGGGGAATATGGCTTCTTAGAGGTTATTATCAGGCTCACAATCAAGTACTGATGAATTCTAATGATGTCAGTGTAGTGAGTGTGCTGGATGTTTATATACTGCACTCAAAAATCCCCTATGGTAAAGCAGCTGACCTTCCTACATGAGGACTGCAAACTCCTACCCTAAGCAATCAACTCAAACCTGCTCTACGTAGCTAATTCTGGCCTTACCCCCAGCTTCCTGGCTTTGGTCAGAATGGGTGAAATTTGGATGACATCAGGGGTCAACTTTAGAAGCAAAATGCTATTGATGCAGTTAGTGTTGGTGTCTAGAATTACCCTGAGCCTAGAATAAATGGCCCTACATACACCTTTTATGCTGCTGATGCCACAAAACCTTTAGGGAGGGAGGGTCTGTGTCTTATGTGACATTTATTCTGGCTCCTAACTTATGCAACAACATGATTAGTGTTTAGCAAAAACACCTCTGTCTGTGTGATACCATGGCTTGGAATGAGTACATCCTGCCTTTGCATTTTACACTCGCCTAGAAGATCACAGGAAATAAAAGCAGTCTCGCAGCTGATCTGTCCAGCCCTTTCATTTTACAAAGGAAGGAACTGAGGCCCAGAGAAGTGAAGCAACCTGCCGAGCCAGATCTTCTAATTCCTGATGTGGGGCTAGACTACAGGGTTCTACACAGGTAGAGTAACTGTATGTTCCGGCTTATTCCGGGATAGCATTGTGGTGACTGCAGCTCAGAGAGAAGTGTTAGGCCAGTGATGGTGAACCTTTTAGAGGTTTCAGTGATAGTAAACAACCCGCAGTGGCATGCTTGCCACAGGTTCACCACCACTGTTAGGTTAATTATTTGGTATTGATGACATATAAAAATAGTATTAATTGATGCAGGAATCAGGAACTTGATTATTGGACTATTCACCAGGCAGATAACAAGAGGCAAGACCTAGCTTTTTACCATCCCTCGCCGTCACCTTCAGGGGCTAATGCATTATTCAGCACCCAGAATGAGAGTGACTACAACTGTGGCAAGGAATGACCAGCCTTCACTTCCACATGCTATTGTGTCAAGCAGTGCTTTGCCTTGGTTGAACATTAAGTTCAACAACAACCTCTCAAGTGTCCGCAAAGCCAAAGGACAACTGTGCCTCGTAGTCTAACGTCCTGAGTGATGTGTCCGGGATTTTGGCAGAGTCCTCTTCATCTTCCAGGGTTGCTCAGCTAAGAGTAAGGTGTATACCTGACCGCGCACCTGTGTTCTGTAGCGATTTCAGGGGGGAAAGCAGTTATTTCTGCAGCAACACTTGGCTTTTTTTGTTTGTTTTTCTGGTACTGGGAATCAAACTCATGACCTTGCGCTTTCCAGGTAGGCGCTGTGCCGCTGAGCTAAATCCCTAGCCCCTAACACTTGGCTTTTATTAGCTGATGACTGATACCATTGCTGTATGAATTAGAGTTGGAAAAGAAAAAAACATGCTTTCATCTGAAAGGATTTAAGAAGGGAAATTTTGGGTGGAGGTATTCCTCAGCATATGGAAGGCCTGGGTTTGATCTCCAGATAAATAAAAAGGAGATACAAGTCGCTCAGAGCAGAATGTGACCAGGATGTGGCATCTTCTGCACCAAGTTTATGGTTATTTATTATCTTTTGAAAAGCCTCCTCCCCACCCCCCCGCTCACATTGTTGCAGTGGATGCGAGCGACTCCAGAGGAACGTTCCAGAACAATTCCCTGCGACTTTGTGTAGCAGCCATGTCCTGTCTTATTTAATCTGCAGACTGTAAGCTCTTTGAGGGCAGAGGCCGTATCTTCTTCATTTTGTGTCCCTATACGATGTTATTCATACTAGGTGCTCAATATTGTTTAATAAATAAATGAAAATCCTTTTCTGTAGTGCCCTCCACAGAGAGGAGAGGGAAAAGCAAGGGAAAGGAAGCACTGACTTATACGCCTGGGGTTTTTTCGAAGCCTTTCAACACCTACTTCCAAAAATCCAGGGAACTCCTTCTCCATGAGTACTCTCAGGTCCTCCTTTGTTAGGTAGCATTTGTCCCCAGCAAATTTGTGAAACGTAAACATCATGGTTTCCATGGCATGTTCCATTTGGGAGGGCATTTTGGTGAGATCTGTTGAAACCTGTTAAAAGATATAAAGAAAAAGGGTTAACTGTTATTTTCTTTTTGAGACAGGGTTTTGCTATGCAGTTCAGGCTGGCCTTGAACTTGAGGTGATCCTCCTGCCTCAGCCTCCTGAGTGCTGGTATTATAGGGGTGCACCACCACGCCCAGCCTATGCTTACCTTTTAAGTCACATGTACTATTAATATTTTGAGGATAACTGGGAGGAGGGTGACTAGGCTTTTCTAGCTATAAAATTCAAGGAATCCAAAGATCACTTCAACTCCATTTTTGGATATCTCAGTGGTGGAAATAGGCACTCAGGTATCAGTGCTTTGAAGGAGAGATTGATCTGGTTGCCAGCTAATTCTGCACAAATCACCTCATGAAGAATACAAACTGTACTCACTTGAAAAAGCAAGACCAGTGTACCCCTTTTTAACTGACAAAGCCCTTATTGACAGAACAGATATTTCTTCATTTTCCTTGGCAATAGCAAAAGGGACTCGGAACTGGCTGAAACCCCACATAGACAAGCCTGATGAATATGAAAACTTCAACCTTCCAAGCTTAACTCAGTAAACTACTTCCATCGGATTCTGGGATTTGGAAATCTGCTTGCTGCTGGATATTTATACTTTGTCTGCTGGGTATTTATACTTTACTAAAGTTCTAAACTTGCTAATTTTGCAATAAAGATATTTGCATCCCTGGTGGTAAAATGCAGCAGTTCTACCACAGTACAAGTTTCCCAAAGTTCATTACTACCTTCACTGGGGAAGGAGTAAGGAATAGTGTGTCCTCACTCCTTTGGGGGCCTCACGCACTTTGGCAGCATGGAATAGCAGAACCATTCTCACAGTCTACGGTGTGGTGGGAAGGCAGGAGCTCTTCATCAAGAAGAGTTCAGGACAGCAAAGGGACATGTCAGGTCACTGCATTCAGGTATGAGGGACTTGGGGCACATGTTTCACCATGACCCAGTGCCTGATACTTAACAGGCGTTTAATGGATTCTAGCTTAACAGAAGGCACACTCTGTCCAGAACAGAACAGCTTTGTTTAACATCATATAAAATCGATACTGGACAGGAAACAGGTGAATTTCTTTGGGGATTATAATACATTACGTAAAACAAATTACAGTAGGCTGTGAGCACAGGTAGGAGAGGCTGGGAGCTTTCCCTGCTGAAGAGCACCAATAGGAACCAGGGCTCTGCCTCAGGCAGGAGATGCCTGTTCAGCCCAGACCCCTACATGCTATCTTTTACCGAGAGAAAAGTAGCAGAAAGTAGTAACTGCACACATCAAGGTCCATTGTGCAATGAATTCCAGGGGGACCACACCCTTTTCCTTCTCCTCCTACAGTCTGGACTGGCTCACCCCCAACGCCCGCATGGGTTTCCCATGGCAGTGGGCTTAGGAGCGTCTGCCTTACTTACCTGGGTTGGTCTGGAAGTGTAGCAATTTAAGAAAAATGAATGGAGTGAGTCAATTATACGAGAACATGGGCTCTTGCCTTGGTACTTAAATAACTCAGGAAACAAGTCAGACACCACTGAGGTTTAAAAATACCTGTGCCCAGCCAGGCGTGGTGGTGCACGCCTCTAATCCCAGCACTCAGCAGGCTGAGGCAGGAGGATAGCTCTGAGTTAGAGGCCCGTCTGGGCTACAAAGTGAGTTTAAGGCCAACTTGAACTGATACTGAAACCCTGTCTCAAAGGACAGAAAAAAGAAAAAAAGAAACCAAAACCAAACAAACCTGTGCCCAAGGTCACAGCAACAGAGCCCTTACTGACCAATTCCCTGAAGATCACCCGTATTAGAAATGAGTAGGACACCTAGTTCATTTTCTTCCCAAGACAGCAGGAGAGTGCACTACAAAGCCAGAGAAGAGAATGCAGCAGGATAAGCATGCCTAAAATAGGAAAACAGGCAGATTTTTCCCAAGAAATATAAGCTGTAAGCTGAGGAAATCTTGTCCATACCTGAATATATTTTTTAAGAGAATGAGGTCAGTTTACTGTACAAGCACAGCTCAGGTCTGAGGTCACTCTGATCATCCCTTCTTTCATCACCTCTTCCTTGGCCTCACTGGCGCTGAAGGGATGGAGCTTTCCTATCTATAGCTGCTTCCCTATCTAGACCCACACCCAGCTGCGGGTGAGGTGGGGAACAGAGCAGCCAGCTGCCTGGCTTCGCATCCACTAGACCCGCTGTGCTAAGAATGCAGGGGAAGCTGAGGCAAGAGGACAAGTTTGAGTCCAGCCCGGGCCACTTAGAGACTTAGCAAGAGCGCATCTCAAAATATAAAATGTCTGGGGATTTAGCTCAGAGGGAAGACTCTGGGTTTAACTCCCAGTGCCACAAAAAAAAAAAAAGAAAAAAAAACCCCACAAAAAATGCAGGGCAGAGGCTAGCCAGAAGTGAAACCAGCACTGAAAATCAGAGACGCCTTCCATCGCAGGAGGACCCTATGCCCCAGGTGGCACTGGCCAAAGTGACAGCTCAGGAACTGTGTTTGGAAGGAGCTGTATGTGGGTTTTAAAGGTGAAGGAAAGAAAAGGGGGAATGCTTGTTTAATTTAACACTGTGCTCTTGGCTGGATGAATCTCACAGCCCTTTGGCCTGTGTAGCAGGGCCCAAGAGTCAGCCTGGAGCTCTCTCCCTCCTTGGGCAGGGCTTACAGGGCAGGGTGACTGTAATGGAGACCATTGGTTATTAAAGCCCAAGATCCTCAGGGACGTGAACCTGGCATTTCCATCCCGCGCTCCGCGGCAGCAGGGGCGGGCTTGCTTGCTGGTCAGATGCACTGAGGCAGAGGGCCTTGGGGCTGGGCTGAGAAGCAGCATCTTTTTAGCGTCCCCAACAACCTATTCCTGCACTCAACACACTTAATTGCATTCAACTGTGTACTACTTAAGCTCTTCTTAGTTAAGAACTGTAAATTATTTACCTTTTATCCACAGACCACTAAATAACTGTTTGTCATATAAGTGAATGAATGAATCAAACAATCCCCTTGTCCGGACCTGAGATGACCGTGTGATGACCTAGAAGAGGCTGGAAACCTTGTAGCTGAGCTCAGCAGCAGGACGTGAGAACTGGGAAGGGCCAAGAAAGGGGCCTCAACAGGGTCTGCCTCTGAATGGAACAGTGGAGAACAGAGGAGAGCACATTCCAGATGCAAACAAAAATATGTGTGTTGTTAAACAGGTCTGGTCAGACTCTCACAGGACTTCTGACTCTGGCAGTTTTCTTGTGTTTTCATTCATCCCACCTTCTTTGTGTTTTTCTAGCTCTGCCAGCTCACTGCTGAGCTCCACAGGAGGCACCAACCTCACTGCTCACTTTTTTTTTAAAAATTTCTTGAGACAAGATCTCACTGTGTAATCCAGGCTGGCCTCGAACTCATGGCAATCTTCCTGCCTCAGCCTCCGGTGTGTACCACTACTCCCAGCTCCACTCACCTTTTATTGAATCATTATTTTTTTTTTTTGAGACAGGCTCTCGTTATGCAGTGCAGGCTTGCCTTGAACTTGCTTATGTAGCCCAGCCTGGCCTTAAGCTGACAGCGAGCCCCCTGCCTTGGCCTTCCAAGTGCTGGGATCACAGGCATGCACCACCATGCCTGGCAAATCATTTTATTCTGATGCGCTCTATTTGTTTGCCTAGGCTGTAAGTAGTAAGAGTGAAGGCTCAGAAATCTGACCTCTTGCTATAGTTTTCTCTATAGAAAACAATCCTGGACTCAACACATTTAGTTAATGTGACATGAACCCAATTTTCTATGTTTGGTTCTCCTACACTAAGCAACTATTTTGCATGTTCCAGTGATGGTGTCAGAGATTTACTCTCTCTCCGTGGTGCTTGCCACCAGCGAATGGAATATTTATTATGTAAAAGCCTGCCCTCAATTCTAGTTATTGGGCTGGGGATTTAGCTCAGCGGCACAGCACCTGCCTGGCAAGTGCAAGGTCATCAATGTGATTCCTGGTACTGGAAGAAAAACAACAAACAAACAAACAAACAAAAAATTTTAGTTATTGGCGTTTCTGGTTCTTTGCCCAGTAGATTGCAGGATCCTCAGGCAACGTCTCAGCAATCAGTGCCCAGCTTCCTGCAGCCTGCTCTTTGTACCAGTAAAAATGAAATGGACAATAACACTGTGACTACAGCCCTCCCAGGAGGAGGAGGGAAGGCGTCTCTCTTAGGAAAGTGTCTGCTTCTGAACCATCCCAAATGTTTGCTCTGGACCTGGGCCCAGACTAAGGCCATAATTTTCAAGAGGACTCTTCGAAGGGGCAAGAGGTCTGACTTACTTTGCTCATCTCTATCGCATTCATACACTAGTTTTCGTAGAGCCACCCAGAAACTGACTGGCAGCTTGTCAGTAAAAACAAACATCTGTTATTTAAAATACATTTGAAATTTTCTTCCTCTTATTTTGGGGATTTGGAGAATGAAAAAAAAAAAATACTTTTGTTGAAATTAAACCCAGAAGGCATTTTTGAAGTTGATCCCAAAAGGGAATTAAAAAAATGAGTGGAGACAATAGATCTCCATCCAGGATGTCTCCCTCATGAAATAAAACTTGCCTACTAAAGAACTGGTCAGCAAAGGGAAGTTCCAGATGCAGTTCAACAGGAAGAACTCAGAAACATCAAGCTCAACCAAGTACATCCATAATTCCTTGGAGAACTGTCAGGCATCTAAATCAGCCAACAACAACTATTATGACAAATGCTGTTAAATCCTTTGGTGAGGTAAATGGGAGTCGTTTAGTGGAAGGATGGAGTACTGAAAATTGTTTTTATTTTTTATTTTATTTTGTTTTTGGTACCGGGAATTGAACTCAAGACCTTGCACTTGCCAGGCAGGCACTTATGCCACTGAGCTATACCCCCGGCCCTTGAAAATTGTTAAAAATAAGTAAACTCTTTTTGCTTTGCTGTGAGGTTCCGAAATCGCTGAGTCCTGGGAAAATAAGAAGCTCAGGAAAGATCCTAAAATTTTAGACCAGCTTTTCTAGTGCTAATTTATACAGCATAATCCTGAAAGAATTCCATTGTTTCCCTTAGCATTATGCTTTAGAAGACAGGATTGTGTTCAAGGGCGTACCCAGTGGGTAGTGCTCAAAAAGTCACATTTTTAAAGCTGTCAGTGGAAAGAAGAGGCACCTAGCCTCAGCCCCTCGCAGCCCCAGGCCCAACCACACTGGGTGGCTGCTGGGGCTGGGCCAGAGGCCAAAACTGGGAGGACAAGGGCCCATTTGATGAATTCAGGAAAAGCCAGCAGTTGAGTCTACACAACAGCTCTATGCCCAACAGACCCAGAAAACTTAACCTCACTGAAGAACTTCAATGAGAAACTCCAAAGGCTGAGTCAAGGGCCACTGTGAAGAAACCACCGTGGGCTGTCTAGGAACATAACACCATTTAGAAGAGACGACTAAACAGTAAGCAGATAGGAATCTGCGGGGGGAGGATGGATGAGTAAATTTCAAATGAGTTATAAGAACTTATTCCTGCCCCAACTCCTGGTTATCCTTTACAATTTGCGGAAACACACTGGAGACAAAGATCATCCACAGGATGCTTCCATGGACCTGGTCTCACCTGAAGTGTAGGACATGAAAATCCACTCCTGGAGGCTGAAACTCAAGGGTGAGGGTTGGCGGGGGAGCTCCGCATCAACTGCAGATGTCTTAATGGGAAAAGCTACTTCCCAAGTAAAGCTGAGGCTGGCTGCCAAGCCGCACATCGAGGGCTGATAGCCTGGCGGATAACCTAGCAGCGGTCTTGCCATGGCCCTGCCAATCTAAGTACTACTCTCACCACCGCTCAGTCAAGAAACGGCTCCGTCAAATTGGCACCCAGTCCTGGTATGAGTCACTTCCGCTTGGAAAATGCCCTCTAAGATGGCACAGTTCCTTTTTTCCTTCAGGGACTATACTGTCCAGAGTATCTGCAAGCAGCAGGGCCACACCCACACGGTCGCACAGCTGAGTCACGGGCCTCAGGTCACCAGGAGAATCCTGGGGCCCTCCGTGCTAACCACACCCCGCAGCTCCCCCTGGGAGGGAGAGGGGAAGGGACCGACCGGAGCGGGTGTAATGCGTTCCAGAACCTGGCTCAGGGCTCTCCTTGCTTTGCTGGCCTGTAGCTGCACTGTTTTTCTCACCACCCTACCCAGCACGGCTGAGTTCTTGGTTTACTTGGGCAGAGCCCGTTCTCCAGAGGCAGGGCTGGAGGGAACGCCTTTCCTTTGGCCAAGGTCAAGTGTGCACCAGGTACCAATGGCCTGTCTGTCGGCCCCACTGCAAGGGGCCAAAGCAAGCTGGGACGGTAAGATTCATCATCAGTCTGCTCTTCCTCGTCTCTCTCTGGTTCCACTTAAGACAGCAAGAAGAGAGCTTTCAGTAGAAAAACCACAGCACAAGGTTCTCCCTCGCCCTGCCCCAGCAATGCCTTACAAAGAAAACAAATATACCGCCCCCACTCGGCGGGAAGACCCTTCCCTTCTACCCGACCGACAAACAACAGGACGCCCAGCTTGCGGCATGTGTTCCGTCGGGCGCAGGACTGAACAGTATCCTGTAGGAAGGGAATCCTCCAGCTGCCAAGCCGTCCAGCCCTCCACAGCCCTCCCGGAGCTTGCGAGGCCCGGGGCTGGGGTGGCTACAAACATCTGGACCCAGATCAGCCTGCAATCGATCCAAACCCATAAGGAATCACGCCAGCCAGGGCAGGGGCGAGAAGGGGGTGCAGGCGGGGAGCAGGGAAAGTAAGAGTAAAGAACTGCAAATGGAAAAGAAGATCAGCGGTCCAGAGGCACCAACGCCAAGCCTAGTGTTGACGGGCAGCGCCCCCTCTGCCATCCCCGCGGGGCTGGGTGGGCGCGGGGCCGGACAGGGTGTGGCCCGCAGCGCCGCGACGCGGATTCCCCTCAGGCCGCTCTCACTCCGGGTCCGCGACGCCGGGGTCGCCTCTTCGAGTCTGCCGGGCGCAGCCAGCGGCCAGTACCCCGGGGTTCAGGTGCGGGTCGGGGGACTCGCGGAGCGCACTCACCTGGGCGCGGAGGCGCTGCAGACGCGAGCGAGCGGGGCGAGCGGGGCGCACGGGCGGGGAGGAGCGCACCGCGGGCTGCACGCCTTTGTACGCGGGGCGGCCCGCGCGAGGCGGGAGGAGCCTGGGTTGGCGGCGGGGCCGCCCAGTCCTGCCCCCTGCATACGCCCTCCCACTTCGCAGACCCGCCTCCCTGCGGCCTCCCCCGCGCAGGGACAGCCCTGCTGAACTTCTCCCCCAGGAGCAAGGCTCCCCTCGCTGCTATCTCGGGACATCCCCACCCTGGGCCGTGCCCTTCCTCTCGGGTTCGGTTTCAGAAAGTGGGTGAGTGTGGAACTCCAAGAATGCAGCCATCCCGCGGGTGGGGCTGGCTGGCCCAGAGCCAGAGGCCCGCGGCTCTCAGGGAACCCACGGGTTTAGGAGTTATTTTCTAGATGTCAGGGAGGAGGAACGCGTGGAGCCCGCCACTCTCGAGGGAACCCAGGCTTGTTCTCTGATCAGGGCATCTCGCCGAGAAGCCGGATCCTGCGCGTTCTGCCGGCAGGGAAAAGGGAGAAGGGGAGGGAGATGTTTGGGTTCTGAGCTCTGGGGACGTTGCAAACGCTGTATAGCAGGAGAGATTTACCCCTCCTGTGTGTGGCTTTTCCTAGACAGTGATTCAGTTTCATTTGTGCTTAAAAATGTTAATACCGAAAGTTTTCAAGGCTCTTTTTGCTCTGTAATGGGTGTAGTTGGTCCTGACAGCCCTTTGGAGGAAACTTCTGGAACAGATTTAGAGAAAACCTAAGTGTTTCCGAGCGAACGATTTTAAACGCCGCCTTCCCCCCCTTAAATTGTGGTTTAAGGTTATGGGCAAATTACTAGCAGCTGTTGGTGGAAAAGAGCCAGTCCCAAGACCCGGGATTTTCTTGCGTTCTCAGGGGAGGGCCTGGGAGGGCTGGTGAGTGATCCCAAAGGAATGAGCAGGGTCGGGGAATCCTCCCGGTGCCACCACGTGACTAATCTTGGCTGTTGCCAGGAAACCCCAATTTGATTCAGCTCTCACTTCCGCTAGGTCCTTGCAGACTTGGTGCTGACTACTCAGGATGGCGGTTCTTCCAGATCTCGTATACCGCGCTCAGGCTTGGTCTCCAGGCAGGAATTGCTGGGTATCTTTGTTCTGGGAAGATGCCAGTGGATTTAGAATGAGAATGTGATAGGGTAGTTCCTTTAAAAATGGCTCACCAGTCAAAAGCATTCCAGGCTCTTCTTGCCTCGAACAAAGAATTGGATGAGACAAGCCAGTAACAGTGACAAAAGGTTTATTTGAAAAGTATGGGGTAAATGGGTATGGAAGAAACCAGCTCTGTAGAGCTAACTTAGGCCAAACAAAATAGAAAGAGGATGCGAGGTCGTGAGTTTGATTCCTGGTACCAAAAAAAAAAAAAAAAAAAAAAAAAAAAAAGATAAAGGCAAAAATTAAAGCACGCATTGTGTGTGAGAAACGCAGCGCAGGCTACTGTGCAGACTCACACAAGATAGCCACTTTCAGCGATGGCCCCTCCTTTTTACACTGTGCACATCTCCCAGGAGCTTGCATCTTCTACATCTTCTCCCTATTGCCCTGGGAGCTTGTGATTGACAAGTCCTGCTCTTTTCCCTCAGCCAGCTTTGCCACGCCCTATCGCCTATATCATTTCCCCCAGGGAGACATAAATTTTTATGGGGTGCTGAAGGAGTGGTGGTCTGTCTTCTATAGCTTCTTCAAGCTGGAAGGGGCTGTAGACTTCTAGTGATAATGTACTCTCCAACTACCTTGTGGCTTGTAGCCTGGGTTGAGGGGAAAAAAAAACTTTCAGAAAACAATGAAAAAAGAGTTCGTGACTTTCTAGCTGCCTGTTTGACAGTAGAAAGAAACTTTACTATTAGTCCAGATGTGAGGAGCGGGTCAGACTTCCATGCTTCTGGTAGAGAAGAATGTATGTTAGAGAGCTATGTCAGATAAATTGTCAAGAATCTGAGAGCCATGGCCTTAGCAACATCTTGCTTACTTATCTGTAGTAGCACTAGAGCTTTGCTTTTTGAAGAGAAATTTCAAGTCTTCCAGAAGTTCACAGGATTAGCTTTCTTCTTTTGGGTGCTTCTTGGACAAAAACTTTTATTTGTGAACCATACCACATGAGGATCTTGGAGAGCATACCGCTGATGTCCTGCCCACTTGCATAGATCTGGACAGTTAATTGTTCACAAGACTGGCCAACCTTTGGGCCTGTAGGCATCAAAGAAGCAGTGTTAATAGTACTCAAATTTGAATAAAAATCTCAGGAGTGTCTAAGAGGAGAGCCTGATAATTGGTAAGCCTTTTTCCTGTTAACCACAAGTAATGGGGCTGGGGATTTAGCTCAGCGGCACAGCGCCTGCCTGGCAAGCGTGAGGTAGTGAGTGCGATTGCCAGTACTGGAAAAAAACCGAAAAACAAAACACAAGTAAATTTTTGTCTCTAAAATAGGTTTGACCCTATGGGGAGTCAGAACTTCTAGTCTCTGTCCCAAAGTTAATGTTGTAGCTTCTGTTAGTATAGCAGCTACAGCAGGTTGGCCATCCAGTAGCCACCCATCTAATTTCTTTGAAAAGTATGCCACTGGGCAAGGTTCTTGTCACCTTTGGGTCGAGACAATGACTCCAAAGCAATTCCTCCTTTTCTGATACATAGAGATAGAAAGTTTTGGGTTTTTTTTGTCTTTTTGAAACAGGGTCTCCCTATGCAGTTCAGGCTGAACTTGCGCTCACTTTGTAGCCCAGGCTGGCCTCACAATGATCCTCCTGCCTCAGCCTCCCAAGTGCTGGGATTACAGGTGTGCGCCACCATGCCCGGCCTTAGAAAGGTTTTAAGTCAGGTATTCCCAGTGCTGGAGCCTGAGTAAGGGCATGCTTTAATTCCCAAAGGCATTGTTAGTCACTTTTGTCCATTCTAGGGCACAGACTCGGGGCCTTTTATTGCCTCATACAGAGGCTTTGCCATTAGTCCAAAATTCGGTAGCCAGATCCTGCAAAAGTCTACCATTCTTAGGAAGGAATGAAATTATTTGGTGGCAGGAGGCCCAAGATCATAGATAGCCTGGATCTGGTCCCTAGATAGCTATTGTTTTTCAGGTGTGAGAATATATCCCAGATATTGAACTTTTTTGGAGGGATGTCTGAGCCTTTTCTTTGGAGATTTTATATTCCTTCTTAGCCAGAAAGTTGAGAGTTTGTACAATGTTATAATTAGATAATTTCTGATTTGGGCTGAAAAATAGAATATCATCTACATACTGTAAGATAGTTCCTTGTTCTAGCTTTAGGTTCTTCAAATCTTTTTCTAGTGCTAGAGCAAAAAGGTGAGGACTATCTCTAAACCCCTATGGGAGAACTGTCCCAAGTATATTGTTTTTCTCTTAAAATGGGACTTTCCCATTTAAAGGCAAACAGAAACAGCATCTGAATGTAGGGGGGGTGGAAAAGAATGTGTCTTTTAACTATAAAGCTGAGAACCAATTATTATCATCTGGAATTTGAGAGAGAATTATATATGGATTTGCCACTAGAGGATGGGTTGGAGTAACAGCCTTGGTAATTAGGTGGAGGTCTTGTACCATCCTGTATTCTCCTGAGGGCTTAATTACAGGGAGAATGGGAATATTGCAAGAGGCCTGACAAGGTTTCAAAGGGCTGTATTTGAGAAATCTGTTTAGGCGAGGCTGGGGGCCTTTGCATGCCTCTTCCTTGATTGGATACTGCTTTCAGTTGGGAAATCAGTTGGAATCTTTCAGTCTTTTAATTATTGGCATAGCTGAATTTGCTCTACTAGGTATTCCCTTATACCAGGCAGCAGGATTCACCTGTTGACTAACTTGGTCAGGGAGACCTAGTGCAGTCCCAGCAAGTAGAAGGCATTTGGCCTCAGCCAGAATCTGGGAATTGTACCCAATTTTGTTAATAAAGCTCTGTATAGCAGGGGAGTAGGACACTGTGGGACTATTAGAAACTCATGGTTAAACATTTGATCTTCAAAGTGGTACCTCACAGCAGGAGTGAAAAAATCTCTGACGATGGGTACTTATAGCCCCAATTATGGCTGTAGACTTAGAGGAGAGTTTTCTAGAGAAGAAATCAAAGCAGAATGAGGTGCCCCTGTATCAGTAAACAGTTGAACTGGCTCACTCTTCTAATTCCACCCAGGGTTCCTCTGAGGAGATGGCGATGGTGATGTCAGTTGTCAGCGCGGGAATGAGGGTTCTGGCCGGCCTAGTCCCTCTCTGGGAGCGGGGGCAGTCAGACCTCCAGTGCCGAGAGTCAGGCACAGTACTTGCCTCACATTTAGAACAGGTCCCGGGCAGAATCTTGGTGCTATCTTGTGCCCAGCGTCCAGCCTTCTTACCCTTCAAACAGGAACTCTTTCCTCGGTTGTCCCTGGGCTTTTTCTAAGAGGTTGTGGGTGAGTTTAAAGCACTACCGATGGCAATGGCTGTAGTCGTAGCCTTTCTCTTTTCTCTCTTCTCTGGGTCCTGATGGTTGAACACAGAAAATGCTGTGTCCGGCCGTTGGGTTATCAGTATCTGAGGCCCCGTTTTTGTAGCTTATGCTGAATATCTGGGGGTTATTGACAGATGAAGTGGTGTCCCATTAGTGCCTCTCCGTCCCTAGAGGATGGATTTGTAAGTATACTTTTGGAAGGCCTCCGCTAGTCAGTTACGAAACACAACTGGATTTTCTTCTGGGCACCTTATCATGGTGAACAGACCTTTTAACGCACCTTTTTATCCCCATGGTAAGAGCAGGGTCTGAGGTTATAAGGGGGAGGTCAAGGGGACATGCTGGTGTGGTTATCCTTCTTAAATAAATCAGCGAGACTGAGATACCCCTGAGAGACAAGTGGGGGTCTTAGAACTAGGTCACTGAGGATCTCTTTGTCTTCCTCGGAGCCTGTACTGAGTACCATAGTTCTTGAACCTTTCCTTTGAAAAAGAGTTATAAAAGCCTGAACCTGAGACATTTCTCTCCACTTTTCGTGTTTTCAGCAGCAACACTGTAACTGCACAGCAGCCTCCTAGTGCAGAGTACCGGCTTTCACCACCTTCCAG